TCACTTAAACTCTACAGTCAAATAAGACACACACAACGAAATACGTTTCAGCATAGCGCCCTGGGGAAAAGTCCCCAAGACTATCGCAAAGCTGACCCAAGACTAGCCCAAGACTGCGTCTCTAGACTCGCCCCAAGACTGTCCAGGACTGGACTCTGTCTGTCGTGCTGTACTCGCCAAGACCAACTAAAACAACTTTATTCATTTTCAAAACTCTAATCAATTACAAAGCAGAAAAAAGACTCTAGGGCGTAATCTTCAATCATAAAGCCAATCACACTAAGTACTGAATGCGTCATATCTTTTGATTAATCGTTCACTACATTAATAACTACGAATACCAACTGTCAGAAATAGTAGTCCGAATAGCGATGGTTATCTCGTAATTAGTTCCAAATCACTGAGTCGAGTTCCGTCCAGGACCTCGCCAGCCTAAACGATGACAGACATAACACAGCCATTCGCTAATAATCAGCTAATTAAGTCGATTAACAGATACGTGAAAACAATTTCATCATGCTGGTTCGATACTCCCTGACCATTTCAGCAAACTCCCCTCAGTACCTCCTGTGACAGCCGCATTCTATACAGGAAGTCGTGCTACTGAGTACCGTAAACCCAAACTATGCGTTTACTGTAAGGACTTACACTCGCCTAACGACTGCCGTACTGTACCAAATACTGACTAACGATACGAAATAGCAAAACGCGACAAACTCTGCTTCAATTGCCTAGGTAAACATAGGGCAAGTGATTGCAAATCGAAATTCAGCTGTCGCATTTGTAAGAAGAGACATCACAAATCACTCTGTAAAGGGATTACAACATCTACGTCTGAATTTCCGCCTACTTCTCGCGTTGCTTCGCAACCAACTCGTAGACTCACTCACCAGACAAACAAGAAGCAACCAACTTAAGTACTTTTGGAGACACCAATTCACGATGTGTCTAGTTTCGCGTTACACACGATTAATAGTCGGAAAATGAACATTTCCGCTCTAACGATACCACAGATTTCTACACCTACAAAAAACCTAGTAAATCGATCCTTACATGATTTACTCTATCTTCGTAATCTCAGAAGTTAACTCGTTTGAAATTTCCATCTCAATTGGCGCGGACTATTATTGGGATATCGTTGGAGACCACATAGTGCGCGGACCAGGCCCCACTGCTGTCTCGTCAAAACTCGGGTATTTACTTTCTGGACCGATCACGCTTTTGATGCCACAATTTTACACATAGCTACGAACTCCATTGAAGAAGAAAACATTCTACAACGTTTCTGGGACTTAGAAAGCATTGGTGTTAAAGACGTGCCCCAACCCATTTCCAAGCAGGAAACTGATTTTGAACGTTATCGCGACACTCATCTCATGAAAGAAGACGGACACTATACTGCTCGCCTCCCCTGGAAACCAGAACACCCACCGCTTCCGACCAACTATCGTATTGCAGAACAAAGAACACGTGCAATGGTACGACGTCTACCACCCGATCTGCTGCAAACATAATAAATAATAAATTAATCGAAGATCAGAAAATGCGTGACTTCATAGAAAAAGTGATTGACGATGACAATTCATACGGACATTACTTGCCACCATCGTTCAGTCAAAAAAGATTCGAAGACAACGCCCATTAGAATCGTTTACGATTGCAGCTGTCTACAGTCAATCGATGCACCCAGTCTTAACGACTGTTTGCAAACAGGACCAGCTCTACACAACGATCTGTCCGCAATACTTCTCAGATTTCGACTTAATGATATCGCACTGACAAGTGACATCGAAAAGGCGTTTCTGAATATTCGACTCAAAAAAGACGATCGCGAATTCACCAAATTCCTTTGGTTGTCCAACTCATCCGATGTAGAAAGCGCCTTGAAAGTTTATCGCTTCAAGGTAGTGTTATTTGGCGCAGTGTGTTCACCGTTTATTTTAAATACAGTTGTGAAAACACATTTAGAATCCAACGCATCAATTCCTCCTACATCCAATCTCGAAGGAAATATATACGTTGACAACGTTGTTAGTGGAACCACTACCCAAGCCGAAGCGCTGGATTATTTCAATGAGGCAAACAGCTTAATGAAATCGGGTGGGTTCAACCTACGATCGTGGTCATCCAACTCAGAAAAACTTCGCGCTGTTTCGGCCAATGACGAAACTTTGAATCCCGACAACAATGTTAATGTTCTTGGAATTCGCTGGCTCGTTAATACCGATCAAATTACCTACAATAAGAAAGACAGTGCACGTATACAAGACAAGTCGGTAATTACGAAACGAAAGGTCGTACAAGACACTGCAAGTTTATACGATCCGCTTGGATATTTAACGCCCGTTGTCGTGGGAGCGAAATTGTTTATACAGAAACTGTGGAAAAACAACATTGACTGGGATGACCCATTAAGCGACGATATGCATCGACATTGGAAAGATGTTTAAGCGCTGTCACCAAGACAACAATCAAACGCCAATAGTTTGATATGGAAAATACGGACAATCCTTACGAACTCCACGTTTTTTTTCGATGCTAGTGATAAGGCCTATGGTGCAGCCGTTTATTTACGTCGTGACATGCAGTCATCTCTCGTTATTGCCAAATCTCGTGTCGCGCCACAGAAGCAAGACATCACGTTGCCTCGACTCGAACTGATGGCCGCTCTGACTGGATCGCGACTATTACGATTTGTGTTCGACGCCTTCAAAGGAAAGATAAACATTGAACAATGCATTATGTGGTCAGACAGCCAGATTGTCATACACTGGTTGAAAAGTGAAAACGGCTACCAATCTTTGTGGCTAACCGTGTGCGAGAAATTAACCAATTTCCGTGCGTAATTAAATACTGCCCTACTCGCGACAATCCCGCCGACTTGGTGACGCGAGGTATCTCTGCCAATAAACTTCAGCAAGCCGACATCTGGTGGAATGGACCGACTTGGTTAAAGCAAGGTAACTGGCCAATATGCAAGTTATTTGACAGCCCGGTTCATCACATTTCTATTTCGGCCATTCTCGCAGAAATCGCATCGGCTCGCACATCGCCAATAAGCGCCAAATCGACCCCAGTTGGTATTTCACAAGTTATTGATGCAGACCGATTCAGCTCACTTAATACATTGCTTCGCATATCCGCACTGGTATTACGATTCATATCGCGCCTAAAACGTGACAAACCTCAACAAAACGGGCACTCACCAGCAAAGAAATTAATTACGCGGAACACATGTGGATCAAGGATGTCCAAATTAAGAAATATCAAGATATTATTGAATCACTACGGAAGGAAAAGTGTACAATAGGACCACTGGTGAAGCAACTGAAACTGTTCATGGATGATCAAGGTATGATACGTTGCGGGGGAAGAATACACAATGCGCCTCTCGATATGGCAACCAAATTTCCAGCCCTACTACCATCTCATCATCGATTAACGGATCTCATCATGAACTCACATTTTCACGTACTCCACAGTGGAGTTCAATCTACCGTCACACATGTCCGTCAGAAATTCTGGATCCCAAGAATTCGACAAATAGTTAAGAATTTACTTCGAAAGTGTGTAACTTGTCGCTAAGTTAATGGATACCCTTTCCGAGCACCAGTCGCTACGCCTCTACAATCATACAGAGTTAACATGACACCACCATTCACTGTCACTGGTGTAGACTTTACCGGCGCGCTCTACGTCCGGGACACCCACAAGCTGTAAGGAAACAAAGGTTTATATTTGTTTGTTTACATGTGCGGTAACGCGAGCTGTACATCTGGAATTATTACCCGACTTGTCTACTAAAACCTTTCTCTATGCATTTCGAAGATTCGCGGCTAGACATTCACTGCCTAGTACAATGGTGTCTGACAACGCTTCAACATATTTATCTGCGGCCGACGAACTACGTTAAATGTTCGATTCTCCCGACGTTCGAACATATCTCGCTAACAAACGGGTACAATGGTCCTTCATCCCGAAACGTGCACCGTGGTTCGGCGGTTTCTGGGAACGTCTTATCGGCATCACCAAAACTTCAATCAAGAAAATACTCGGTCGCGCATACGCCACATTCGATGAGCTCAACACAATAGTAACTGAAGTAGAATCAGTTTTGAATGACCGCCCGATTACGTATCTCTCATCCGACTATAAAGCCCGACGGTGTGTGTTTTCCGAAGACACTCAAGAATCGCCTGCTGCTGAACGTGTACCAGAGCCTGAAATCATTAATCGCCGAGCCTCTACTAGAACAGCCGCCGCTATCGCTCGACTACGAATCCAGGACATTAATTGACATGTTAACTATTATGAACTGAACTGATTCTAATGACATTATTGTAATTCGTTTATACAGTTTGTGTGATCTATGTCTCAATGTATTTCTAACTGCATGTTTGAATTTATATTTCATTTATCGATATTAATTGCAGTAGTTTTTTGCCTTCTAATTTATTATGTTGGTTTATTATCGATATCCATTTATTGTTTAGTTTTTTTCCCTGATTTTTATTTCGCGGCCCGGAGAAATGTCGGAAAATTGAGCTCGATTGAGATTTAGCCAGCCAATGAGATTGTTTTAATTTCAACCAATCAGCTCCTTTATCTTTTCACCAATCACGTACAAGGCCATATTCATTGTAACCATTCATGAACAAGGCCAATATTTACTTTGATAATATAAATAGGAGACGAAAAGTTCATTCAATAAAGTCTTCTATTGCAGTCCATACGCGGTTTATTCTTCCATTCCTGAACTTGACTCTTCTAACAATTCCCACAAAATAATCTTCATTTGCATATTAATATATACAGTAAAACACCCGAAATCTGATTGAAAACTGTTTTCACTGAAAAACATAGGCCGCAAATTCAACACGATTCAGAACGACCAGGGCCAGACAACAGTTTAATTTGAAAATTTACGACTACATTTCCTGATATTCAGTTATATGCATAGTTATATATGTGGGTTACGTGAGTAAATACAAAATAAATGTTTACTGTTCTTCACCACGTAGCAGCCCTGATGAAAAAGGTAGTGTACAGGGGCTATTAGGTTTGAAAATGGAAAAGTCAAAACAAACGCCGCTAGGAGGTTTCAAAGGATATTACCATTCCAAAAGAATATAAAAGGGAAATGCGATTTTTATAATCATTTTGTTTCATCGCCTGCATCACAATGATAAATTTCTGTCATCCTGGAAACGGATCCGGATGCAGGGACATATTATTTCAAACTTGGTACATATACGAACCATTATCATCTTAAGAAGCTGAGATGCCTGAAATGATAGATCTATTTTGAAAATTCACACATCCTTTTACCTGCCATCACTCATGCTGGGTTAGTAATGTACGTCAATTTGTTTTGTAATGTGAAATAGCCGACATAATAAATGTGGTGAATGTTGTCTTCAGTTAATTTTAGATTACAATGAAATGTAGGCAACTGTGCTCAACAAATATAAAATCACATCATGTCATGAATTCATTTAAACTTAGTATGAACTTAATATGATGCACGTAAGTTTGTTCTGTGATTTGATTCAAAATAGTCGACTGGTGGCGATTTTGCTCACTAAAACACAAACAAATCAACACTTAAACATGTCACCAACAGTTTTCAAAGCAAGTTTGAGCTTCTTCCAATCTAACTTGACATTTACATAATCATGGTAGATTTT